AGCCTGGCTCTGGGCAGTAGATGGTGCTTCTCATTTCTAGTCTGAGGGGTCAACAAGGGGTACCATGAGTTCACGGGCCCACTGCAGACAGCTGTCACCTCAAGCTGGGGGATTTGGTAGGACCTGTCATCCAGTGCCTGTCTGGCCTTCAGAAGATTGGTACAGAGAAAAATGGCCTACCCACATGAGCTCTGTGGTTGAGGGGGAGAGAGCTTGAAGAAGCACTATGTCACACTGTTGGGGCTGAGGCCTGGCCAAGGAAGACATGCTGGCACCCCAACTTGAGGACCACAGAGTTCTGGGTACTGCCTATAGTCTCACAGTTCCCATGTGTTTTAGTTTCATCACCCAGGAAATTTTCCAAAGAAACTTTAGGGCCAGATCCTTGGCTGTCAAGTATGGATTTTTTACAAATTAAAATTAAAATAAATCAATTGAGTCTCAAAATCCACCATGATCATTTCACAAAAGGACATTTTAACATTTAGAGTGAGAAGCACTTGACTTTGGAAGAAAGGGCATTCTGATATATTGGTTACACTTAGCTTAATGAAGAACAGTGTGCATTGTCTTTACTTTTACCGATTCGTGGAAGGCTGGTGAAACATTGTCAGCACCCAGCATCAAGTCAGAGATCGTATCCTGAGCCACTGGCCGGTCAGCTGGGAAGTGGTGACTAGATGTTCCAGCCTGTTTTGCTGAGGACAGAAGAATGAACTAGTGGCTCAGCCAGCACGAAAGTGAGACGGGGAGTCCTTGTTGGCCTGCCTCTAGATGAGCCGGCCTTTGATGGAGGGGCATGTGTGTGTTTGGGTTTGCTGTGCCGGGCAAGGGAGCAGTGGAATTTGTCTCGAGCTCACACATTGAAGTGATTGAGCGCCTTACACGCAAGGCCGTGACCTGGACTCCCAGCCGAGAGGCCCACGTGGCAGGGCTTTAGCTGGGGGATCCGGGGACTGGCTCACATCTGCTCAGCTGCTTATGTAACCCTGCTTCCAGCTCCCAGAGCCAAGAAAACACACAAGCCAGCCCAGCGGGGCCTAGGGCCCATGGTAGCACATACCATGCGCCGCACAGCAAGGGAGCCTTGGCTCAGTGTGAGGACTGTCATGAAGCCCTCAGCCCTCAGCCTCCTCCCTTTGCTTCTCTCGGAGGCCCCTGGCAGTGACTCTGAGATCTGATAGCAGTTTGCTGTGGTTCTGGGCAGAGCTGGCCACTGCCCTCCTGGAGCCTGAGCTCTCTGGATTTTCTTGTTGGGACAGCGCCAAGCAGGCCATGGAGGGTGGCCTCTGCAGCATGGCAGGGGTGTGCAGGGCCCTCAGGGAGGCCTCTGACTGGCACTGGACCCAGGAAGCATTTGGCTCCAGGTCTGCAGCCCCCGCTGGCTGCTGAGGGCTGACCCAGCTCAGGCGTGAGCCCCAGGGCTCTCGGGGCTGTGGACACGTCAGAGAAAGCAGGTGGGGCACGGATTGCCACGGAGAGCAGGACTGGGGATTGCAGTGCTCTTGGTGTGTCGCAGACATGATGGGGGTTGTGAGAAGGGCCCAGAGAGGACCAGGAATCTGAAAAGAGGCTGTTCAGTAATAAAGCCCTACAGGAAGCCTTTAGAGGAGTGATTCCCTTAGACAGCTTTAAATAAGGGTAGTTTTCCCTTAGGTTCTCCCACACCCTCATCAGGGAGCTCCTTGAGGTCAGGAATTGCCGTCTGTCACTCCCCTTCCCCACTGGGCACACAGTCTCACACAGGTGCCCAGGAAGTACTGGGCAGGAAGGGGTGGGAGAGTAGAAGATGGACCACCTAGGTTGTCAGCTCCCAGAATTGATGGACAGTGGTGTCAGTTGCCGAGGAAACTCTGGAGAACAGGCAGGTTTGGCTATAGGTGATGATGGGGGGGTTGTTGAATAAGAGTTCATTTGGTGCTGTTTGGATTCCCATCCCTGCAATCTCCAGATGGGAAACCAGTATCCTGAGAGTAGGTGGCACTTGCCCAAAGACCATCCAGCAAGTCACTAGTGGAGCTCAACCAGGGCCCAGGCAGCCTTTCTTCTACCCAGGAAACTCTACCTCAGGACTACCATTTTGGAACCCCCCAACAGGCAAAACTAAGATGCTTTCCAGTCCACAGGTGTCTGCTTTCAGGAGGTTGGGCAGACCGATTGTGAATTCCTGTCTTCTGGGTCGGTTTCAGAAGGTATGAGCAAGTCAGTAGGGTGAGAGTCCAGATGCCTCTTGGGTTCCCGAAAATGAAGTTATGTTTAGCAGCATCTTCAGAACTAGAGGTAGGGTGGGGTACAGGGAGTTGGCGGGGGGTTGCAGATGTTGTGGGGCCCTCTGAAGTGAGAAGATGATGATCTTCTTTTCATGTTTTTCACAAGTGCATGGGGCTGCAGAGCCTCCCAGAAGCTTTGCTGGGGTCAAGCAGCCCAGGCCTAATGGACCTTATGGGGAAGGGCTACCTCCATGAAAGCCCCAAAGCTCACGAAGATGAGAGATTCAGCTCCCCATTGTCCAGTCACCTGGGCTCCTTGTGATTTATCTCCTTCCGCAAATTGGCCAAGTCATTCCCCAGTGGAGCATCCTGAGATTCCATATTTTTTATGAATTGCCTCACATGATTCTGATGGATGGGTTTGAGAAAAACTGGTTCAGGTGACCTCTTACTTAGTCCTGGAGCATAGTACCTACTCACCCGAGGGCATCCTGAGGAGTTGGAACTGGGTCACTTGTGTGAGGGACTGATGTATGAGGCCTCTGTGTCCCTGCACCAGGGCGTCTGCTTTCTGAGCTCTGGTAATGAAGGGAGCAAAAGGATGAAGGCAGACTGGGGCTTATTATTAATTTTAAGATTCCGGTCTGTCTTGAAATGCAAAAGTCTGTTGTTAGAAGAAAGAAGGAAGGGCATTTCTGGCAAGGAGACAAGTATGGATGTAGGCATGGTTTATTGGAATGGGGATGGAAGTAGAGCTGACTGAAGGGCCTTGTTGCCAAACTGAGAGGTTTAGCCTTCCTTGTCAAAGATCGCAGGGCCCAGGGCCCGTGAGCCATCAGAGTTTTTTGTTTGTTTGTTTGTTTTTTGTTTTTGTAAGCAGGAAAGTGATATGATCAGATCTGCATCTCAGAAGAAAAATAGATGGGTGGGAATGGGTCTAGTGATGGTGGAACTGAGTCAGCATTGGAGGGAGGGAGGGTGTAAGAAGTACCAGAGGATGCTGAGGAGAAGGAAATGGGGAGTCTGCACCTGCTGACAATCAAGAGGAGCAAGAATCACAACTTTTTTTTTCTGGGGCTCGTTTCAAGAGGGTGAGTGATTTCTGGACACAAGGGTGCTTGGAGCATCACATGTTACTGATGAACAAATAGGGCAAAGGAGTGATGTGTGGTGGGCCTCCGGTGGATCTCACCAGCATGTTTCAGGCATGCTTGCTCCCAGTGTGTGGTCAGCATTCCCACCTCTATTCTGTATTTGCCTTTGTTCTCATGGCTAGTTGGCTTCACAGGTCAATCTCGTTACACTAGAGTAACAGTTCTCAAAATGTGTTCCCTGGTCGAGTGGTTCTATGGCCAAATATGTTTGTGAAATGTTGGGTTATATAAAGTGAAGGGGGTTTCTTGACTGCACAACTTTTCAGAGCCTTTGGTGTGCCTTAAGATTGAGTATGCTTATTTGACCAGGAGACATGTTCTTCCATTGAGCATCTTACTGGAATTATTGTTTCCTGGAACCTGGTTGGAGAAAATCTGGCCTACAGGGAATACTGGGGCTCTGGGTTTGAGTTTTTTTGTTTTTTGTATTTTTAGATTTTATTTATTTATTTGAAAGAGAGAACACAAACGTTGGGGGGGGAGGGACAGAGGCAGAGGGAGAGGAAGCAGTATCCCTGCTGAGCAGGGAGCCTAACTCACAGCTCAGCCCCAGGACCCCAGGATCATAACCTGAGCCAAAGGCAGATGCCTAATCACCCAGGTGCCCTGGGTTTGAGTATTGACTCTGTCCCCAGTTTCCTGTGTATTCCTGGGCCTGTCATATTTTCCCTGCCCTCCACTGTGCATGCCACATGAGGGTCAGTCCCCAGCTGAGGAGAGGAGTCCTCTCCTAGCTCCACTTTAGAAACAAGGATTTCCATGTCTGTATCTGTATATTGACCTTGGCCTCTCCCACTACTACTACCCTATCACTACCTCAGAATCCACCATCCACATCATCAATTTTTCTTCTAAGTCAAGAGTTCTCTTACTAATTTACTTCTGTCATCTGGAACCGTATTCTTCCAAGATAGAAACTTGGTGGTCCTCTCCAACTTTCTCTCCCTTCCTCATCTCCTTTGTTATTCTACCACCGATACTTACTACTAAGCATCTTTCTTTGGTGTTCTTTTCAGCTGTTTCTCATCATCCTATAGTCTGCTCTGGGTCTCAGTTCCTCCAGTCCCTACCCCTGGAGTTTTTTTAAATATGTGCATCAGGTGTCTTCCTGTGACATGGGTTCCTCATACTACTCCTTGCTACCTACTGATTTGAGGCTGATTTCCACAACACCATCCTCCCTGACACACATACACAGACACACACACACCCCTTTTCCCAACTACACTAGGTTCAGAGAGTTGATGGACATCATTTGTGCAAGACCACACAGCTGGGAGGTGGCAAAGTTAGGTCTCCACCTCAGGATTTCTGAGAAAGTGCTTTCTCATCCATTTTCTGATTCTTAAAACAACCTTTCAGGAAGTCTGAGCAGCAGCCACTCCCTTTCCAGTTAGAGCTGAGAAACCTAGAATCTCAGGGGAGTGGGTCCTGGACAGGTGCGTGCTTCATAGGGTGACCAGCTGTCCAGCTTTGCCTGGGCCTAAGGGGTTTCCTGGGATGGTTGGTTGTCCTAGTGCTGGACATAAGTGCCTTTTTCGTAGCCACACTGCCTCCCAGGAGGATATGTCTCCTGAGGCTGTGGCCTGGGGGAACACTGTAGCCTGCTAACTTCTCCTTCCTTCCACCTCTGTAGTCGGCCCCATGGTGATCGAGTTTAACATACCTGTGGACCTGAAGCTTGTGGAGAAACAGAACCCAGAGGTGAAGGTGGGCGGCCGCTATACCCCCAAGAACTGCATCTCTCCCCACAAGGTGGCCATCGTTATTCCATTCCGTAACCGGCAGGAACACCTCAAGTACTGGCTGTATTACTTGCACCCAATCCTACAGCGTCAGCAGTTAGACTACGGCATCTATGTTATCAACCAGGTGAGGTCTGGGAAGACGGAGTGAGGGAGGGAGTATGTGAGTAATGAGGGGTGAGAGAAAGAATCCGATACTAGAAGTGTGACATTTTATAACCCCGCCAGCCTCACCTCCTTAGGCAATGCAGATAAACCAGATACCATACAACTTGCTTGTCACTGTCTGCTCTTTGGGCAAGGGTATTTGCTTGCTGGGGTATTTTGTTTTCTTTTTGCTGCAAGTGCACTTCCAGCAAAATTGAGAGAAACACAACAATCCTCATTCTCCCAAAGTAGAGCACTGATTATTTCCCATCCTTGGGTAGTTGTGTATTTTCCTTAAAAAAAAAAAAAAAAAGAAAAAAAACCTCATTTAAATGTCAGAGTTTTAGGCAGCTTCGAAATTATCTAGTCTAACGTATCTTCTGGGACACCTGCTGGAGATATCACCCTTAGATCAGGCCTGAATGCCAGCCCCCAGCAAAATGGCTGGGGAAATCGAATTTTTAGGCCACTGAATATCATGTGCACTGGGCTGGGTCTGAGAAAAGAGAGCTGCTCACTGCATGTCTGATTTGTGTGTGTTGAGCTTAGCCATGCTCAGGAAACTAATGTGGAAGACATGTTAGCCTTTATCAGCATGACCTGGAGAATCAGATTGATCTAGAATGTAGTTTTTAAAAAATAACTTTGCTGATTTCCAGTTTGTTTGAGAAGCACTATTATTTTTCTAGAAGTGTAACTTTGGTGTTTTGAGTTTATTATAAATACCTAAATTCATGATTTTATAACTTACTAGGTGGAATAACACATTTACCCTGTCTGTATACTAAAGTTCATTGAAATTCATCTGAAGAGGACAGTATACCCATTCTAAAAGACTTACTGTCCATTTTAAGATAAATTCTGGAGCTGCTTGAGGTAGTAAAAGTGTTGGTAGTTGACAGCTTCCGTCAAAGTAGAGGGCTTTTGTTTGCCTTCCTGGGACCAGAAGGAAGTTAGAAATATCAGTGTGTCCATTGACCATTTCCGAGCACTGCCATGACATTGTGCTGCAGAGAGATTCTAAAGAAGTAAGGTCCCACCCAGTTCTATCTGTCTAGAAGCTTCCTTCCCCACAGTGGCAAGTGGGACCCTTCTAGGGAATAATTTAACAGTCCCAAATAGTATGTGATTGGATGGTGGCTGCCAAATGCTTTGGAAACTCAGAGGAAGGCAAGTGAGTGACCTGGAAGAACCAGGGTATCGGACTACATTCTAAGGCCTGGAGGGACACCTGGGCATCTCAGCTGGAGCCAGTGAACAGGGGCTTTAATGCAGAAAGAAGTTATGGATATTCCCAGAGATAAAGTTGACCACAGGGATAGGAAAGCAGCAGAGGTGATAGAGCCAGGTGTAGGAGCTGAGTCTGTCAGGTAGGAAAGAGCAGAACAGCCCTGCTAAAAGGGAACTGAAGTTCAAGGTGGGGGAGTAGGTGGCAGGCAAACCCCTCAAGGCTCTTTAAGTCCCCTGACCAAATGGGCCATAGACCAAGGCCCTGAGAAAATCTGCAGGCAAGACAGCCAGACAGTTGTGGATCATCTTAGAAGAATACTTGAGAATGTGAGAGAGAATAGGTAAATGCCCTATAAAATCCAAGCCACTTCAATCCAACCAGTATTTGTTCAAGAAAACCCCTATCATCAAGGAACATTTATCCGATGCCAATGAACACATGTTGATCGTGGCAAGATTCAGAAACATTATTAAAGCAATGGCAGTGAGTGCCTAGAAGAGGAAGCCATCATTGCAGGAGCTAGTAGGGATCACCAAAAATAAGCCAAGCCAGCTGCATTGCCTTCCTCTCTTCGACGGTTACTATACCAGTAGATGACTGACAAACTATAGACAACAGTGTTATCAGGGCTTACTACACAAAGCATCTGATGGCCTCCCCCAATCTGCCTGCACACAAGATGGACAACTGTGGGCTAGAGAGCATATAAATTAGATTAAAATATATACTTGAGTAAGGAGGGTAAAAGAATTCGTGGTGATGCTGAGTTTTTTAATTTAGGTGACCCAGATCAAGGAAGACTGGAGGGAAGGATGCTAAGGTAGAGATAGGTTGTATTTGAGGAGAATGGGAGACTTCCCCATTTAATTATAAAATCAAAACAAATATTGGACCAGTGAAATTTAGCCATGTTCCTAAATTCCTATGACAGAATTTGTAAAGATGTTTCCCAGGTTTTACACAACAGGTTTCTGAAAATGTTATACCAGCTAGACGCTCCTGCTGCCCCAGGCCAAGATGGCGGAACAACCAAGCAAGCCAGCTTGGCCGGTGGCACTGCTGCACTGGCTCACACCGGCCACTGCGTAAGACGGGGCTTCTTCCAAGGTGCGCTTTCTGCAATGGAGCTCTGAGGCCGCGTGCATTTGAGAAATGCTAGATGGAACAATGGGAAGCAGGCCTCATTCCTGCAGAACTTTTAGTGTGCTAGTGTCTGTTACAGCCTCCAAAGCTACTCAGCACCCGGTGTTTTCTGAGCTCGGCTGGCTGGAGATCTGTTTTCCAAGAACCGTCTCAAGCAATGAATGTTCTTTGAATTACACTTTGGGGAAAGCAGGCCTAAACCAATACCTCCCTCCTTCCCCCCAACCCTATCCCCCCATCCCGCCTACCTCTTTACTTCCCTAGGAACTGAGACCACCACCCCCCAGTCTCTTCCCACTTGCAGTTTAACATTGGAAATATTTTATTTTTAGCTTTCCAAACATATTTACATCTTCTTTCCCTTCTAGTCTTTTCAGTATCATTATCTCACCACCCCCCTTCCATGTCTTTTTTGCTTCTCCATCTTTTCCTTCTTTTCTAAAGGTTAACTTTCCACCTTAGGAAAATCTTTTCCTCCTTATCTCTCTCTCCCCCAGCTAATCTTATTTATTCTGCTCCAACTCTACCCTGATGATTTCTTTGGGAAAGTATGATCTGACTTCCAGATAACTGAATCATGAAGAAACTTGCTCCGCCTTTCCGGTAAAGAAAATCATCTGTATGATATCTGTAAAGTGCATGTAATAAATTGGTGAGAGGAAACCTAATCCTTGAAAAGATGCAGAAGAAGAAACATTTGGAGCATGCCCCACCTACAAATTAGGAATTTCCTCTGTTCTCTTTTGCTGTTATATAAAGAGGAAGAAAGGGAATTGGTAGCATCTGGCTTTGAACTTCCTGTAAATAGGCATTCAAGCCTCCCCTCATCTCCCTGCCTCAAACATCCTGCCTGCCCCTTTTAAGATGAGAGAGAAAGAATGCTTGAAGTAGGAGGGGCCTCTGAGAGATCCATCCCAAAGGTACTCAAACAGGTTTTGGAGAACAGAACCTCCTGCCCCATGGAAATGCTATGCAGTCCCCCCAGCAACAGCAGATCACCATGGCGGCTGTTCTACGTGAACTGGAGACAGTGTTCCCATCCTGAACCCCACACCTCCCCCCTTCCCCTTCAGTCTTTGTTGGGATCTGCCTGGTACCCCGAGGCCAGGTAGTATGAAAACATCTACTCTCTTGTACCCCTGAGGAAATAAGGCTCAGAGAGGGGAAAGGAGCAGTAGGAGGTCACATACATGACAAGAAGGCTGCAGCTCCAGCCCAGTCCCTGTCACCTAGTGCCCTCTCACTGCACCTGCACTCACTCTGTCCTTTGGGCCATCTGGTCCCTTCCTCAGTCTTTCTCCCAGCTGGGTAGAAGGGCTGGGGGTGAGCTTCAGGTTTGGATTGCCTGGGTTCCAGTTCTGCCACTTCCCCCACGCTGTGACCATAGGCTCAAATTCTTCAGACCTCTGTTTCCTCGTTGGCAGGAGGGAGAGGTTTTGGTATTTGCACGTGGGGCCTATAAAACACCTGGTACAGGGCAAACCCTCAGTAAACACTAATTGTTATTGCTATGGTTTGCGTTCCTTCTCCCCCTTACCCCTCCTTTCTTCCTGTTTCCTTGCCCAGTGCTCTAGTGATGAACTATTTACTGCTCTCCCTGCCTCCTGCTTCACCTCTACTGAGTACCAGCCTCAAGACCCTCCCTCCCATTTGTATGGGCTCCAGGGGTCAGAGGATAGTGGGTAGTCACAGGAAACAGAATCTTAGGGGGCTTGGGGACCATGTCAAACCCAGCAGCTTCTTCTGAGTAGGGTTGCCAAGTAGGTTTGTGTTTAAGGTCCGCACACAGAGGTGAGGTTCCATGGGCTTCTGTGGCCCCTACCGGTGTCCATATTAACTACTCCCTTTTGGTTTAGGCCCCTCCAATTACCATAACAATTTGCATCTCACAGTAAGTGGGGTGGAGGGGAGCCGGGAAGCCTTTACCAGCTGAAATTGCTGTCTGTCCTCTGGTCTCCACCTCTCCTCCTGCCCTGACCTCCCAGTGTTCGAGCCTCCCATTAGGGTTCTGGCCTGTCTGCCCTCTTGGAGCCAAGGGTGCTGCTTGGTGGCACCGATGTCCTTCCTGCAGTCCGACCCCAGGGCTTTGGTGCAGAGGTGGACGCCAAGATGTCATAGCAGATGGGGGAGGGGTGCTATAACTCCTCAAACTTTAACCAAGGAAAGGAAACTACAAAACCACCTACAGTGAAAGAAAGGCAGGTTACCACCTGGTAGTAAAAGCCATATATATGAAATAGAGGATGTTTGTGAAGTTAACCAGCATAAAAATTACCAAACAGGTGAGGAATGGAGGCCCAGCTGGTCAAGTAGTTTTGTCATAACTGTGCAGCCCTTTGTCCTGAGTCAGGGGCCAGGACTGGTATGTCCGATTCTGTGTATCCTCTGGTGCTTCTGATCTTACTCAGCTGTCTAAGAGCTTTCTAGTTCTGACCATATTACCCTTTAAGCCCTTCACTGTGTCCCCACTGCCTACAGCCAAGGGTCCAAAGTGCCAAGCTTGGAATCTGAGACCATCTAAGTCCCCCCATGACCTATCTCTAGCTACTTCCTCCTCAACCCTCCTTTAGACACACTTGACACCACAGACTCTGGACTCCCTGTCTTCACTGTGTTCCCCTCCTTGTGCCTTTGCTTAGGCGGCCCACTCTGCTCTGTGTGCCTGTCCTTCCTCTTTCTAGCCACTATTTAACCCCCACCCCTACCTTAGTTAGCTCTGTGAGGCCTTGGAGTGGAGCCAGCTTCTCCTTCCCACTGTTCCCAGGCCACTCAGTGCTTTCTAGTGAGGGGTGAGGAGGGATTCTATGTGTGCATGCTCTCCCTGGCCTGCAGTCTCTAGACCCCAGGCCCATTAGGTCTGATTTCCCTCTGCCTCCCTGACCCCATAGCTCCACGCACAGTCCAGTGTTCAGTTAGGGTTTGGAGCTAGCAGCTGCTCCTTGGGACTCCTGCCCATTTACTGAACACCCATCCTCAGGACCCCTTGCTCCTGGTTCTCTGGTGAGGTCTGTTCCTCTTGGAAGTGAAACCTCCTTTCCCAGTCAGGGCAGGTCTTGAGCCTTGGGAACCAACCTGCACAGCCCTTCCCCAGGCCTCCCCCCAAGGCTTCCTCCTTGCTGACCAGAGCAGGCTTCCTGGGACATTGCCTCAGGGTAACCTTGCTTTTCAGGAAAAATGCAGAGAACCTACTTTAGTCCTGTGGTTGTTGATGGTCGTAGACTTTTATGGTCCTTTGGACTGAACCTCTTTCATGGTCTCACTTTGAATTTTGACCCTACCAGCCCCCCAGTAAGGCAGAGGGGTACTCATTGTTTCCGCTGAGAGAAAGTTACGAAGGTAAGCAGCTTGCTCGGGGACCCATGATGGCTGGGTGGCAGAGCTGGGATTTGTACAGCGATGACCTGAGGCCTAAGGAATGCCTTGCTTTGCCACATTCAGTCCTGAACACAGACATTCCCCTCACGGGGAAACAGCTCCATATCCATCTGGCACCACCATCTTGAGTCCCAGTGGGTTGTGAGAGGTGAGTAGCAGCTTTGGAGTAACAGTCTCAAGCCCCCGTGGGAGGCTTGCCCAGTTGTCATGCCTGACAGGTAAATCTTGGTCTGAAAGCCTCAGGGTGCAGCAGAGGGGGCCCTGCCTGAGGGTTCTTAGACTTTGGAATTTTTTTTACCTCTTCCTTTTTGTCTGTGCACTGTTGTGAGGTAGTTCCAGGCTGCTTGTCTGGAACCAAGTATGGCCAGCTTTGGAGACAGCCTGTTATACCCTCTATGAGTGAGAGTAATGAGTGAGAGTAACCACACCTCAGCAACTTACCTCTGTCACTGGGCCAAGTAGCTGGTTCCTACAGGAGGCCAAGATGAGTTAGACTGAATCAGACTCATGGGTCCTCCCATTGTGGAGAAGGACAACAGCCCAGGCCTATGGCCCCCACTGGTTTGCTTTCTGTGTTAATCTTGTCTATTCACCATCCCCTCCCTGCCACCCATCCCTGCCTTCCATTTTTCTCCTGAAGCTGTCAGCACCCAGATTGATGTGCGCAGGAATGGGACTCGGGAGTGGTAGGGCCAGTCCTATCCTGCAGCACCCCCTTCCTTGAGCACTGGGACCTTCTGGATCCTGGGGGCCCAGGAGCATTATGGGAAGACTGGGAGTGTCTGTGTCCCACCAGAGTTCGTGTGCTGTCTCAGTGACTGGTCATTTCCTTTGCTGTGTGTTTTCCTCTCTCCCCATCTGTGGCTTGGTCCATTCTCCTGGGGAGTGTGGCAGAGCACTTACAGGTACTTACAGACTCGTGAATTGCCTCCCTGGACATTGTTCTGGGAAACGTCATTTTCGCTCTGCCCCTGTGATGTCATGACGGGGAGTGACAGCTTCTTAGGAATTTGCCTTTGCCCTGGAACAAGAGGGGTCAGAATGCCACCCCCATCCTTTCTTCATAGCCTTGACATTGCCTCTCTTCCTTACCTCTCTCCCTTGCATCCATCCTGTCTCTTTTTTTTTTCTCGTTCTAGTGGGGCCCTTTTGCTTTTACTTGTTAATCCTGTTTGTAGCAAAGCAAGCTGAAGGAGGAGCCTCCTCTCTGTGATCTGCTTCTTACTCTCCACCTACCTCCTCTTCTGTGCCCTCCACCTCCTAGAGAGAGAGAGAGAAAGAGAAAGAGAGAGAGGAGTGCCGGCCTAACTCCTGCTGTGACTGCTGCCGCCGTCGCCACCACTGCTGCCACCCTGGTAATGTCCACATGCCCCAAATCAAACCCGAGCCCGGGCCCTGGGGTCTCCAGGCAAGGTCATAGTCTCTGTGGGCTCGCTCGGAAATGCTGAGGTCGCTGGAAGCCAGCCTGTTGTGCAGAGGTCTGAGATGCTTTGCCTTAAATTAAGCCACAATTGAGCTCATGCTGTTTGTGTATATCTTTTTGTGTCCTGCATTTTTCTTCAATTCTGTGTCATCAGCATCTTCCCATGTTCTCTCATAGCCTCATAATCTCCACTGTCTGCACTCTCCTAGCCGGTGAGCATGCGGCTCTACCGTAAGGAGCTTAGCTGTTCTTCTGCTACAAGGCATTTAGATAATTCCCACTTTCTCCCTGGTGTCAGTTCCGTGCCTGCTTGCTTCCGCATTTAGAATCTTTTCTCCAGGCTAGATATTCTGACACGGAATTACGGGTTCAGAAGCACTTTAAATAGGTGAATAGGCCTTCATATAAATGGTCAAATTCCTTTAAGCCCTTTATTTTCTAAAATGTTTTCCTGAAGAAAGATCTCAGGGCCTCAGATCCAGGGAAGGAGGAGGACATCCTACTATGGCTTCTGTGGAGCTGGGGTTTCAAAACGCCATTCTCTGTTCCCTTTACACCCAGAACCCCTTTTGGACTGTGCTATCCGCTCAGTTCTCTCTGAAGGCAACCTAGGGCTTCGGACCTGTGTTCTAGTCCAGTGGGGGGGCATGGATGTGCTTATTCTTGCCCTGAAGGGCCCCATTTCCTTTACGCCCTGGATGAAGAGCTGAAGTCTCAGGTCCGGGTCTTGTTGAGAGCCTTTTCCCAGCTCAAGGCTACCGTATTATTATGGTTAAGAGCCGAGGCCCAACTGCTGTGAAATCATGGGTGAGTGGATATTAGCCTTCCACGAGCTCAGCGTTTGTATAATCCCAGCAATTCTCCAGGGATCACCTCCCAGCCAGCCTGTCTACTGCCCCGGGTTCCACACGTAGGCCCGCGTGTCAGTCACAGGACAGCCCAGCGAGAGCTTTCTCTGCTTTCCTGCCACCCACTCGGCCGAGGCCTTTTCTCTTAGTGTCTGATTGGGCACAGAGAAGCATGCAAGGGGAGTTTCAGCAAGCATTTCCACTGACTGTAGACCTGCCTCCAGATCTGTGGGTTTGAGAGCCTGTGGGTTATTATGGGTGTTGAGAAGGCATGTGTGTGTGTCTTTGTGTGTCTTTGTGATGGGCCAGGGCATGTGTATGGGAACAAAATTGTCTCTCCCATCACAGAGATTCTGATTCATTGAGTCTTGGCTTTGGCTTACTGTTTTCAACCTCATCGTTGCTGTGTCTTTTGGTGAAGGGGCCAGGTATGGTCAGACCCCAAGCTCTCTTGGTTGGGGCAAATGTCTACCGGTATATGCACATGGGCCTAAAATCCAGGGAGGGCAGGGTGGTTTAACCAATCCTTTAGAGACTGTTAGAACTTAGTTACGGGAGGCCTTGGTCTTCTGCAGTTGATCATGTGTCTTGTAAAAAGGAGAAGGCCACTCTTGCTTTAGCCATAGTCAGGATTTGTCTGGGGATTAGACCAGACTCTGGTACCCATTCTAAAAGTCTTGCTTGTGGGTACAGTGCACATGCCAAGGGTGCAGGTGAGGCATGAAATGGGAATGGCCCTTGTGTTAGCCCTTGGAGGAAGGCGTTCTCTACCTGCCCGCCATGACTGCCTACTCTCTATCTCATATGAATCATATTCATGTGATTCTAGCTGCCTAGCAGCAGCTTCCGAGCGGATCTCCCTGCCTACAGTTGTGGGGTAAGGCAGAAGGCCCTGCTTGATATGTAAAAGCCTAATCTTCATTTAAAATCTTCAAGGGCTCCCATGGCCTAAATTAAAGACAAAGCCTGAGTACTTTAGCGGAGTTCCCAGCCTTCCCCTCCCCGGCGGGATTTGGTCCACATTCACCCTCATGTCTTATTCTGGCTTCCCCATTCTGTATTTCTTTTCGCTTCTTGAATGGTTCTTTTTTTTCCTCACAGCCTTTACAAATGCTGCTTTCTCTTCTAGGAGCACTCTTCCTATGCCTTTCCAGTCCCCTAGAATTTGATCAGTGTCTTCATCTCCATATCACCCCATTATAACTGCCTGTTTAAGTCGGAACTACTCAGAACTGGGACTGTGTCTTTTCCTTTTCTTAGCCCTATAGCTAAGCCTGAAGCAGACACCCAATAAATGACAAGAGTGAATATATGAGATAGAGGGAGAAGTATGATCCTTGGTCCTCCTCTGTCTTTGGAGCTGGGTTTTTTCTTTTTTCTTAACGTTTTTTTTCCTTTCTGCTAATCCCCTTATTGAAATATAATTATATGCCATGAGATTTGCCATTGAAAGTACATAATCCAGTGGTTTTTGGTATATTTGGGAACTGTGTGCCCATCTCCATTATCAATTTTAGAATATTTTCATTGCACCAAAAATAAACCTGGCATTTCTTAGCTTCTACATCCCTTCATTGCACCCAGCCCTAGGCTACCACTAATATACTTTCTGTCTCTACGGATTTGCCTGTTTTGGGCATTTCATGTAAATGAAATCATGCTTTATGTAGTCCTTCGTGACTGGCTTCTTTAGCTTAACATGATGTGTTCAAGGTTTGGCCATGTAATAGCCTGTATCAGCATTCATTCTTTTTTATTGCTGAATAACATTGCATTGTAGAGATATACCACATTTTATTTACCCATGTATTAGCTGGCAGACATTTGGGTTGTTTCTACTTTTTATCTACTTTGAACAATGCTGTTATGAATGTTGTGGACAAGTTTTTGTGTGGACATAAGTTTTCATTTCTCTTAGGTAAATACCTAGGAATGGAATCACTGGATCATGTGGTAACTCTTTGTTTATCCACCTGAGGAGCTGCCAGACTTTTTTCTAAGATGGCTGCACGATTTCCCATTCCCACCAGCAGTGCATAAGGGTTCCGTTTTCAATGGACATACCACTTGCTCTCTCCTTAGTATAAATGAGGGCTCTAGAGAAAGGTTTTAACAGTCTTAGAGCAGGTTGCTTCTGGTGCTTCTTAGGACATTTGTCCCTGCCATCCAGATCTGCCAGAAGGGCCCTGGTTTGTTTCATGAGGTGTCTGAAGGCAGTCTCTTCCTCCTCTCCTCTCCCTGAGGAGCTTGCCCTCTCCTGACTAGCATTGTTAGTTTTGCTTGACTGACTGTTAATACCCATCTTTAGGGATAGGCCTGGTCCTAAAAGTTTTACAGGTTTTTCTGTGAGCTTTGATCAGTGAGACAGCTTCTCTGTCTAGCTGTGGGAATGTCATACCATTTTTGTCCTTTCTTCTTTCTTCCTATCCTCTCCTTCTGTTATGAGGAGCCAGTTGCTCTTGAAAGAAGGAATATGTATAACTCTTATCTACCAAAGTAAGATGAAACCTGCACTAAAAAGCTCAGCTTTTCAGAGGGACCCCTGCTCTCAGAGCTCCAGTTCCTCTTCATGTGTGACTGGGTCCCAAGCATATCATACCTCTAAAGGTCTTAGACTTTCTCCTACTATAGAAATTCTCATATTGTGAGCCACAGGCTAACGTACTTGAGCCCTAATCCTTTTTAGAACCCCTTCCCCTCCCCTTCCCCACCCTGCCCCACCCAATCAGAGAAGGAGGATTTGGAAAGGTTCTTGAAGCTGATTGGGAAAGGCACACACAAATGATGGAGAAGTCTCCGTGTTGGATTTCTGGAAGACAATTTGAAAGATCTGTTAAAGATGGATGGGAAGACTTACTCCTATAATAATGATAGTAGCTGACATTTGTTGCCAGACAGTGTGCAAAGGCCTTTTCATGCATTGTCTCATCTAATAAAACCCACCTGTTGTCATCCAAAAAACCAGATGAGGAAATGGAGACCTAGAGGTGTGGTTTACCCAAAGTCACATAGCTAAGAAGCCAAGAAGCTGGCATTCCTGGGATAAAAACACATGTGTCAGAAAAAAAAAAATGCCTGTTGTCAGTCTCCACAGCTATGTATTTGGCTTGGCTGGACAGTAGTGGTGCTTGATCAATATTTACCTGAGGGTAGGAAGCAGAAGACACACTGGATGCATGTGCCCATTGAGAAGAGGCAGGAATGAGGGCTGGGTGTCTTTCCACCACCACCACCCCCCACGGAGGAATGAATCCCTCCTATTAGTGTTGGGCATTGGAAGGCTTGCCAGGGCCTGTCTTTCTTATCAAGGTTACCCAAGGTGTTACACCATTTCACCCAGAGAAGCCAAGAGTTGACTTTCTATAATCCCAGGGGAGGAGGGGGAAGACACATACTTTACTTATCTACCATTTTGCTACTCTGATGTTTCTAAGGACCCTGGTAGGAAATGAAACCTGTAAGAATGTACCCCGCCTTTTCCCTCTCCCAGAATCACAGAGGTGAGGCTAGGTTGAGAGGAGTGATATACAGTTCAGGCTATTTTAGAAAACTGCCTGACTAATTTAAACTGTGGACCAGACACTGAAGTGCCTTACTGAGTTGAAGAAGCTGTTATGCTGCAAGTGGGGAAAAGGATAGATCTACTCCTTGGGTTTCTCCTCTAGGATGCGAGTGTTCTTGGAGCATGATGCCAGGGGTGCCCATTCATGGTTCCAAATTGGCAGTTCTTGGGAGAGGAAAAATGCTTAGTATAGTCTCAGTCAGACATCTCCTTAGTTCAGATAGTCATGGCTAGCAGGCCAGGCCCTGTGGCTTGGGCATGTCCATCAAGAGCTCCCTGACCCTGTTTTGGAGAATGTACCAAGAAAAGGGAGCATTGGGTGGCCATCCTCCACAATCTATGACCTGGGTGTGAAAAGGCTTTGTTGGGATACCCTTTCACTTATTGGAAAAGTGGTTAGTGGGGCTGAAAACATTCAGAGAAAGCTAAGTCTTAGGGTCTTCATGGGGCTAGAGGAACAAGATGGAAAGTACCAAGTGCAGATCTCTCTCTGCATTGCCAGAAGGTTCAAGGGTCTGAGAAGAAGGTAGTAAGTCTGGGTTGGGATAAAGGTTGTTACAAGATTGTTGAGATGTTTAAAAGCATGTAAAACACTTATCCTGTACCTCATATGTCTTATCTCCCAGTGAACTTTAGCAGTGTGTTGTAATAATAGTAATTACAACTTCATAGTTTTCATATCTGGTTTCTAGACTTTGAATTTCTTTTTACCTCAAGACTTACAGAGAATTAGCTGAAGGCAGGATTCTAAATGACTCTTAACTGGTGGGTACAACTAAAGAACACAGTGTGTGCCATTGGGCTCAGGCTTCTCCTTTCTCCATGCATGATTAGAAAGCTTTGTCATGGGCTGAAGAAAGGAGCTCTTGTATAAAATATTTCCTTAATTCATTCACCATTCTCTTGGCTGCTCTTTCTGACTTCCTGATACTTGTGTTTCTTGAGTGGTTGGTTTCTCTGAGTCACCCATCTGAGGCTGCACAGCTGTAGCACCATCCATATGCTCTGTCCTCACACAGGCAGCCTTCTAGAGCACCAATTTCCAAATATTTTCTTGGGGGCCTGGAGAGAAGATGTTGGGGGAGCCCAACTTGGAAGTTGTGTAACCACTGTAGACCCTTGCGAGATATACTTTCCCCCAAAGTTGAAGGCCCTGATCTTGTTGATTCCAAGAGGGATTGGGAGAGCACACTAAATGAGGATTTCAGTGCCAGGTCACTTTTGTACGTTAGTTTCTTCATGGCATTGTTGGGAGGATTCTGGCCGGATGAGACTACACATGTGGAAGGGCTTGTGGATTGCTAACTGTAAGGGTGGCAGTGTCGATGCTGTTACTGTCCCTGCTAACCTGGGGCTGTGGTTCAGAGTGGAGACCCTTGGTGGTGACCCTGAGGGAGCCCTTGGTTGAAGCTTCCCAGAATTGTCATCTGCCGTTGTTTGTTGAAACCCAACCCTTGGTCTATGCATCCATCTATCCATCCATCTGTCCGTCCATCCGTCCATCCATCCATCCAGCCAGCAGTTGTTTGTTGAGCTCTTATTGTATGCCAGGCAGTGTTCTAGGCATTGGTGAAGAAAAAGTTAAAAATTCCAGCTTTCATTGAGTTTATATTCTAGTGGGGGAACTGAAAATAAGTAAATGAAATATGAAATACCTTTGCACCAACAGACTTGGTGCTTCGGGACCCAGTGGTTCGCATCCTGAAGCAGGTGTCCTCTTCTCTCTCATACACCCTGTTTCTGTCATAGCATGTATCACACAGCTTCCCACCCTATGCTGTGAACACAATGAGAGCAGAGATTGACTTGGGTCCATGGTATTTCTCTGGTACCTAATTTTATGACAGACATATATATGTGAAGGCACACAGTATGGTGACCAAACCATATTCAGCCATACCAAGAGGGAAGAAGTAAAAAGTCCATAGGCACCAGTTTCCTGGCCATCTTTATGGGAATTAGTCTATATGAAGTGTGTTAAACAAATGACACATATGTTTAAATGCTTTTTCACCTAACAATACTATCTTGAAAATCATTTCCTTTTAGAGCTTCCTTATTTTTTTTAACAACTCTATTCCATTTTAAGGATGTTACATAATTTATTTAACCAGTTCCTTAGCAATGCTTATGGCATTGTTTGCAATCTGTTGCTGTGATGAAAATCCCATGGTGAGCAAGTTGTTCATTTTTGTGTATTTGCAAGTCCTCTGTGATAATTCAGTTCCTAGAAGAGGGATTGCTGATGCAGGGCATGCCATTATTCGGTATTGATTTATAAAGTGAGAGCAGAAAAAATGAGTGGACTAAGGATCACACGTAGTTGACAGGTCACCAGTCCAAGTGAGTATTCTATTCAGTCGCCTTGCGGTATCTGATAGTACTTGTTCTGTTTCTGCCCCAGGCTGGAGAAACCATGTTCAACCGTGCTAAGCTCCTCAACATTGGCTTTCAAGAGGCCCTGAAGGATTATGACTACAACTGCTTTGTGTTTAGTGACGTGGACCTCATTCCAATGAACGACCACAATGCCTACAGGTGTTTCCCACAGCCACGGCACATTTCTGTAGCCATGGATAAGTTTGGATTTAGGTAAGAGATATCCACCAGAAGCTACAGAAAACCGGACCACTAGGAAATGTAGCCCCTCCAGCCCAGGAGTATCCCTTTAGGTTCTGGAAGAGAATCCTTCCCCTGAGAACAGGGTGCTTTTTAAGCCCAAAGTCAGTTATGATTTAAGGAGGAAAGTAAAATCCAGAAACATTCATAACGTTGCACATCCAGGGTTTGTGTTTGTGATGGCTCTAGCCTGTAGGCTCCAAACAGATGCTATATTTCCTTGTTTTCTTCTGTTCCCTTCCCCCACCCAGTTCGGGAAGCAAATTGGAATTGTTTTCCCCCCAGTCAATTCTTGGGTTTGGGTACCTTAGCAGGTATACCCTGGTACTTAAAAAAGAACATGATTCTGTTTCCCTGCAAAGTACAGGCTTCTGTTTAGACATTGGGACCCAGACTTTTCCATCCAAATGCCCCTAGTGAGGAGGCCAGCTGATGCCTGTCCCCAAGGATACTGGTATAATCCAAAGAGTATTGTCATAGGTGGAAAATAGCCTTGTAGCCTTTTTTTTTTTAACCTTAAAAAAAATAAAGGCACTTTGTTCCATAACTACCCATGTTTATATTAACATAAAGTTGTTTTAAATCACCCACTAGTTGAGCAGACTGACTTTCCCGGCCCTGCTCTAAGTCAGCCCGAAGGTCCAAGAAGCTGTGTGCTGGGTAGCCCTGGCTTCGGCTGACTGCCCCAGTGTGGCAGGCCCGTGCAGACCTGCAGTCCCTTGGTCTAGATACAGATGCTATCTTTCAGACTCATTTTATTCCCCATGATTTTGTTCTGTCCTCCCTTGCTGGGGGAACAAGGGCTGGGAGATGCAAACAGGGACGCTAAGGGGCACTTGGCTGGCTCAGTTGGTAGAGTGTGTGGCTATCAGTGGCGGAGCCATGAGTTCAAACCCTACGTTGGCCTTGGAGCCCGCTTAATTAAAAAGGAAAGAAAAGAAAATAGGGATGCTGTAAGTCGTTCCCCCAGACCAGCCCCTAAACTTGCTATCTTAAAGAGAGGAGAATTGCCTTAAAGGTCACCCTGCACCCTCCTAACTTCCCTCCCTACCTTCCTGTTCATGTATCTTCTTATCTTTGAGATACATGAGCTCAAACTTCACCCCCCTCTTCATTCCCCCCTTGAAGCACGGTGATGATGACCTCATTCTTTGCCACAGCACCATGCCTATCTTACCCAGAACCAGTCAGGCTTGGGGGACAGGCAGTTGGTTGGTTAGAGAAAACAGCATGGGCGGTGAAACCAAATCTCATCATCTCAGCATGTACTTTCCTGGGAGGTCACCAAGAGTCCATTCTGTATAAACACTGATTGTGAGAAATCTTATTGGCTTGGCCACCTGGTTCAAACCCTCCCTTGTAATCAGGCACAGACTGTAGTGTGAGGTATGCCCAAAGGTGGGTGACTGGGCACCCAAGGGACAACACCTAGTTACAGATGGATTACCTTTGACTCATTAAAGCAGGGATCTTCATGGATACTCACAGTCAGATGTCCTGAATGTATTTGAAAATAGTAATGGCACTTTTTTTTTCTTATATTCTGGATGGTTTGGCTGACTTCCCTCTTGAACTCTGAGTTAGAGTTTTCCTTAATTTGTGTGATGGATTTTAGTCTCTCTGGATTCCAGTAAAAGCCCTAGTGTGGGTTAGTGCTGCACACAAAGTCGTCACAAAACCACAGCCTTTAAAGGACCCATGGGAAAACCTTTGTATGGCTTTTGGACATGACCTGAGTCTTAACATTTCATCACCATTGAAAGAGTAAAATACAAAAAGGTGCGGAAGGATGAGAGTCCAGATGCCCTACTGCTTGAAAACGTGTCAAAATAGATTCACCCTTATATATTTCGCTAAGTCAGGATGTGGTAGGAATTTCCTAGAAAATGTTATTTTAGCAGATTTTCAGAAATACTGTTTCGACCGTTGGGGTCAGTTTTGAGACTAGTGTGCCTATGAAAAATGAAAGTTATACTGATAGATGGGCTGAGGGTGGGAAGAGAGGGCATGACCGGGTGGGCACAGGGAGGCTTTACTGCAATCTCAGTTTCCAGGACCTCCTGGATAAAGATTTCCCATGCAGGAGCAAGATGCATAGAAAAGCAGATTCCCGAATGGGGCACAAAAGTGGGCTTATGCTTTTGTCACTAACTAATTTTCCAGGTACCCACAGAAGCAACACAGTATTCTTAGAGCAAGATTCTACTTTTTGATATCTGTGTCTTCTCTGAAATCATCTCAGTTTGATTAAAAAAAAAAAAAACCAGAACAAAGATAACCCTCATAAACCTCAATTAAAAAGTCCTGGAGAATAAAGATAATGTTACAAGTGTTTATGCTTTGAGCATGCTTTATTTTGAAAAGTCAAGACTTACTTAACCACTGGTCTTTGTGTGTGTGTTTCTCCCCCAGCCTACCTTATGTTCAGTATTTTGGAGGTGTCTCTGCTCTAAGTAAACAACAGTTTCTCACCATCAATGGATTTCCTAATAACTATTGGGGCTGGGGAGGTGAAGATGATGACATTTTTAACAGGTAATGGTTACAACTTAGACCTCTTTCTTCTCTGTCTCCCATCACTCCCAGGTTTTCAGTTAGCACCTGGTCATTCTGCAAGGATTGCTCCTTGGGTGGGATTCAGTCCCCACTTGGCCCACATTCTTTATTTTTAAGATTTTATTTATTTATCAGAGAGGGAGCATAAGCAGGGGGAGTGGCAGGCAGAGGGAGAAGCAGACTCTGCACCGAGCAGGGAGCCAGATGTGGGACTCCATCCCAGAACCCTGGGATCATGACCTGAGCCAAAGGCAGACGCTTAACTGACGGAGCCACCCAGGCACCCCTTGGCCCACATTCTTAAGTGTGCCCTTCAGTAGGTGCCACAGGTACTGAAGAATGTCTTTAGGAAAATTTACTTCTGTGATTTTTGCATTAGCCTTGGAACATGCAAAATGAGAACCAAGTGAAGGGTTGAGTTTACTTTGATTCATACCACATGCTGTTTTGTCCTGAAGAAGTAAGCATGTATTCTTTGCAAAAATTCGGCATTTCATTGTGGTCCTGTTTGATTATGAAACAAGTTTCTTTGGGCTGGATCCTAAGTTCCTTTACAGAATCTCTGTGTTATTTGTTTATTCTGGAACATTTTTACATACAAAAATGAGGACTGAGTAGTATAATGAACTTTTGTGGACCCAGCCAGCCCCAACAACCATCTCTCCATGGTCAGCCCTGCCCCATCCATACCTCAGGGGCTCCTTGTAAGGTGGTAAGCCTTTATCATGGGGGTTGTCATTGCAGATGGTAAAAAATAAAAAAATAAAAAATTCCAGTGGCATTTGAAACCACATTCTGCCCAATTCTCTCTGGCCATGGAGACTTCAACCCTGCCAGCTGTGGATAAGAAGTACCTTCTCCCTCTGGAAGCTAGTCAGAGCTTGTCATTGAGCTTGATAACAGAATATAGCCTAGCACCTTCCCCAATTGGAGTACATTAATTTGAGCAGTTCACAGAAGGTGTCTGTCAGAGCAGCACCCAAGTCAGTCACATGGAGCTTAGTACAAGAACCTGTCATGGACCCAAGCCTTTGCTATCAGCCTGGGAGAAAACTGGGCTCGGAGCATGTGCCCCTTCAGCATACAGAGCACTGAGTCCCGCAGGCCCAGTGGGAGGGCCGCAGAAGCCCCAGATAGGGGGTCCAGACAAATACAAACTTGCTTCCACGGCACCAGCTGGGCAAATGGGGCCTGTGGGATGGTGTTCAGGGCTGAGGTGGCACCACAGACCTGAGCTGTGGAGGTTAGTAGGGAGGGAGCCCTGAGGGTGGAGGGACTAGAAGCCTGTGTGATTTGTGGAGCAGCTTTCTTGAAAGATAAGGGGTATATCTGTTATGCACCTACTTGCCAAGTGCCAGGCACAAGACCAGCACTTGGGGAGATGAGGCCAGAAGAAACCTTTAAATCCTCCAGGGACAGCCAGTCCTGCCTCTTAACTAACTTGCCCTGTTGCTGTCAAGGCTTTGGTTTGGGTCATCATTCCTTTCCCCCAGACTTACACAGACTCTTCCATCCTGTTCTGGCTGGCTCTTGTCTTGTTCTCTGCTCTCTGTTGTTATGGTACTTATCAGAGAGACTTCCCTTTGGCCAAAAACCTTTGGGGAACTGCATATTATATCCCTTTCATACACTGGCACTGATCATTGGGATGCTATAGAGCTCTGAGAAGGCCTCCATGATGTAGCCTTTGCCCTTCTTCCACTCTCATCTCTGGCTACTTCCTACTCAAGACTCTACCAGTCCCCAGAAGTTTCTGTTGCTCCCTGAGGGCCCTGTGTTTGCTCTGTCTCTCTGCCTTTGCCTTAGCTGCCCTGGCTACCCAAAATGCTCTAGCAGACACCTCTTTGCTTTCACAACTGGCTCTGCCTAGTCTTGCTTAGGGAAAGTGAGTGGCTTCCCTTCCTGTGCTCAGCCTTCCTTCCCCCACCTCGCTTCCATCCTGACACTGATGGTCCTGTGTTCTAAGTTTGCACTGTAAGTTCTATGAGGGCAGGCACCCTCAGTGCCTGGCATGGAGCAGTCACCAACACAAACTACAGAACTTGTGGTAAAAGACGTGGGATACCACAGCGGGCAGGGGTGTGGGCTGAGTGAGAACAATCAACAAGATGGTGGATGAGGCACAAGTCTTGCAGCCGGGGCTTTTGGACCCAAGCCTCATGGCAGCTCTACAATGATGACTTGTCCTTTTACTCCTTGCAGATTAGTTTTTCGAGGTATGTCTGTATCTCGCCCCAATGCTGTGGTTGGCAAATGTCGGATGATCCGCCACTCAAGAGACAAGAAAAATGAACCCAATCCTCAGAGGTATGTTCTGTGTTCATTTACATGCCTTCTTTCTCCGTTCAGATGGGGGAGGCTACAGGAATGAGGCTCTGGAGACGGCTCCATGCCTGAGGGAGAGGGAGGGTTCTGTCCTTGGGACTGGCAGAGTAGGTGGGCATGTGTGAAGGACAAATATTTAATGCTTTTTTCTTAAGATTTCTGTTTTGACACCAACCCATCGCCTATCTTTTCCTTGTAGGTTTGACCGAATTGCACATACAAAGGAGACCATGCTTTCAGATGGTTTGAATACACTCACTTACAAGGTGTTGGACATAGAGAGAAATCCGTTGTATACCAAAATCACAGTGGACATCGGGACACCAAGCTAGCATTTCGGTACACTAATAAGAGACCTGAAAATGGCCAGGGACCTTTGCTGTGCATCCCTGCCAATCTGCTGGGCTGGTCCCTTTCATTCTTAACAAACAGAATGATAGGCCCCCTTCATTCATCATTCAGATGCCTTTCCAGATGACCAGGACGAGTGGGATATTTTGCCCCCAACTTGGCTCAGCATGTGACTTCTTAGCTCTACAAGGTGTTTGTAAATGTAGAAAACATCAGCCTTTGGGGGATTCTTGGTATGTTCACGGTGTCACCCCAAAGAATCAGTATGCAGCCCGAAATTTGGTGACTGTGGGACTCATTCCCAGTGATAAACTGCTAATTTGTTGTGAAATAGGTAAGAATTTCGCTTTAAATTGTGGTATTCTTATTACTTTATGAAAAATCGGAGAGTGCTGCTGAAATCGGATTGGTGTGATGTTTTTTGTTTGCATATTTTAACAGAAAAACACAATCTCAACCATTCTCCTTTTACCCCGCCCCCCACCTTCTTTTAGTGGTATGCAACTACTATAATCACTTGTGTGTGGGGGGGTGTATGTGTGTGTGTCTGTCTGTCTGTCTTTTCTTAGCAAGGAGATTTTTAAAACTTGAGCCTCAGACCTTTTGCCCTGCTAATGTGTGAATTCCAAGGCAACATTAGTCACCAGAGCAAAAGTCTTGGGTGTTCTCACATTCAGTGGCCTTTCTCCAGATTGTCTGATTTCTGAATGTAAAGACTTTTTTTTTAAAAAAAGCAGTTTGTAGTATTTTAAAGAAAGAACAAATCAGGTTCTAATTATGATCCAGCTTGATTTTGTGTTGATCCAGATTTGCATAGCTATTTAGTGTTAAATCATGGCAATTTATTTTTCTGGGCATGCTATATAAACTTGAATTTCCTATGTATTTTTATTGTGGTGTTTTAAATGTGGGGAGGGGATTGAGCATTTTTTAGGGGGGAAAAATAGTGTATGCTGTACTGGCCATGAATGGACCTCTGATTTAGTCGGCAGGCCAGGTTTTGTGAAGAGCAGAATCACCTTTGGGCCCATTGAGTGTAAGGCCTCCTGGTCAAGTTATCCTGCTAGACCTCTGAGGGAGGCAAAAGCCTAGGCCTGCTAGGCAGAACTCCCCACCTCTCTCGCCTCCCCAGGTGGGAGGGAACCTCCACCCCTCTTCCAGGGGACCTTCCCATAGAGCCCTATGCTATGGAGGTGTAAATGACAGCAATCAGCAATCCGGTTGTTGTTTACTGACCGGGAATCTGGGGAGGAGGAGGAAATCACTGTTCTGGCCACCGTGGAGTGTGGGGGCTGCTTCCTTCTCTGTGCTGGCCACACTACCTGGCCTACCTTTCGGGGACCTATTCTCCTTCCTCCACCTTCCTCCTCTCTGTTGCCTCTCTCCCTCCTTCCTCCCCGTTTTTCTTCCTTTGCCTCTTGCCTGTCCCTAAAACTTGCCTGTGGCACTCAGGGTCAAACTGACTATTCATTCTCCAGCATGAATGTGCCTTCTAATTAGAGATCTAGAAAGAAGTTGAGCTGAACCCTCCCACACTCCCCCACAACTGCTCTGGTGCCTAAAGCCTCCCATCCCCCTCAGGTTTTTAGCAGGTGCTTCCACTCCAGGGAGGCTGATCCCCAGGGGTGTCATCTCCAAACCCATCTCTGCTGGGAGAGGTTTAGCCTCCCTGGGACGAGCTACACAAGGCAGCTGCTACCGGTGGGCGCCCCTGCTGGGTCCAGGCTGGCTAGGCTGAGCGCTGAAGATTCAGCTGTTTAATCCCAGGGTTGACCCCTCAGCTGGTGGTAGCCTGGAGCCCCACCCCTGTCTTCTTGGGAACCAGCCCTTAGTGTGGAGGCTGAGCTGGTGCCCAGCCCCAGACTTACCTGTGCCTTTATTGCTTTGAGCATCTTGGATGCTAACATGGTTCTTTTCCCAGAAGCCTTCTTTATTGGTTAAAAATTATTTTCCACTGCAGAAGCAGCAGGGCCATTCAGAGAGTATTCTTTCTTTCAGTTCCCCGTTCCTTAACAGCAATGTCAGTGGAACCAAGAATGACCGCACTGAAAGGAAATTTTGGGAAATGCGAAAAGTGAAGGCCTCTCTTTCTGTCCCTAGATCCTGACTTTTCCAAAGTGCCTTAAAAGAAAGGAGACAAATACCCTGGGTGGTAATTTCTTTTTTCTTACTTTACTCTTAAAGAAAATTCTGACTTTGTTTGTTTGTTTGTTTTCCTGTTACATTTTCCTTTATGTTCCATTGGAATAGTCAAGTATGTGGTTCGTTCTCAGAACCAAGGGAAATCCTGCTTCACTTGTTCCCCATTTGCTGACCTTCTGGTGCTCTCATGGGGCCCACTTGGGCCCAAGGTTAGGCCCGGTTGCTTGCCTGGTTCCTAAGATGCTGCAGTTCCTGTTTCCTCCCTGAGAAGTTCAGGGCCGAGGGTTCAGGGAGCATTTCCTTCCCCTGGAAGCTGTCACAGTGAAGTTGTGTGCTGCATCTTTCTCTGTTTCTCTCCATCCCATTGCTGGTGCCCTGTCAAGTGGCCTTTGGGAAAGATGAGAGGGCAGGGGTGGTATAAGAGGGTAAAGGAAATGCTGGTGCTGGCTCTTGGTCTGGGCAGGGGCTCTGCTGACCTCACAGCCGGGCGTGGGCTGCCTAACTTGGCCAGGATGGCAGCTTTCCTGCTGGTGAGACCTGTTGTGTATTTCAATTTCCCATGTATGCAAATGTATGGATTTACCATTGTAAGTGGGCTGGGGGGGAGGTGGGGGAGGGTTTGTGTCTGACCTTGGTGTTCAAAACAACTGTATTTTTGTCTTTAAAATCCAGTAATATAACGTGAATAAATGACCTTATCTTTGTAACCTCAGGTGGTTTCTTTTCTGATTTCAGGGGTCTGGGCTCTCCCAGGGCTGGAGGGAAGTGATTGGGACTGCCTGCTGGGAGAATCAGAGGAAAGCAAAGGTCTGCCACCTGTGCCCCCCTCATTGCGGCGGGGGTGGGGTGGGGGGGTAGATGGTGGTGGTGCGGGGAGCACCTGACTGTGCTCCGTATACCCCCACTGGAATCAACTGTTTTTGAGACTTTTTTTTTTAATTTACTTGAGAGAAAGACAGAAAGAGAGAGAACGAGTCGGGAGAGGAGCAGAGGCAGAAGCAGACTCCCCACTGAGCAGGGAGCCTGTGGAGGGTTCCATCCCAGGACCCTGAGATCATGACCTAAGACAAAGGCAGACACTTAACCACCTGAGCCACACAGGTGCCCCTGTTTTCGAGGCTTAAAAGGGATGACATGTGGGACATAATGACTGGCCCCTCACAGGCACTTACTGCGCAGTAGCTGGTGCCTCATCAAAATGACATTTCCCCTGGCCGGTCTCTGGTCACATTCTGCTATAAGCAGCAGATGCCAGGATTGTTCTGGGATCATCCTCAGAGCCATTGCCACAAGGTGTTCACAGTAACTTGAGTGGGTATTCTACAAAACAAGATTTCTTATCAGCCCCAGGAAATGTAAATATTCTCCAGGGTCTTGGTTGTGATTCAAGGATCATGAGGCATTATGAACTCTGGCTGCCGCCGCCTCCTCCTCATTGCCCCTAGGACCAGACATCAGCAGCCTCTTCCTTGCTGGCGAGATTGACTTGGCATCTGGAAGAAACATGTCTGAGGAAACCAGTGTGCCGAAGAGGTCACCCTTGCTGTCCAGGCTGATGGAGCTGTGAATGTGGGACCAACTGGGAAACAGGAGAAGGAAGGGTGGCAGTTTATAGCCCCTACAGTGCCATCTGGCTGTCCCCACCCATTCTTGTGACCGCTAGAAGGATCCCTAGGGGCTTCAGACCTGAACAGAGGTGGCCCTGGGCTCAGATCTGGCCTTCTAACAGGAGATGACAAGACTATGGTTCTTTGGACAAAGTGCTGCCTTAGACGGCTTTGTAAGCTGTAAGGTCTGGGTTAATGGGGCGCCCTTCTATCCCCAAAGATGCACATATCCACTCAGATACATACATACTAATATGCATAACACACCTGACATGTGCCTATGAGAGACGAGAGTGCCTGGGTTCAAATCCTACTGTTGCCTCTTCCTAGTAATGTGACGTGACCACTCCTCTTCTGGAGATACCAGGACCTCACCAGTCATGTTTTCCCACCCCTTCCTTGCCTCACACGAACAAAGATGTTTGGAAGGGCAGCACTGGGGCAGAAGGGGACTTGAACCCCTGGTGGGCTCCAAAGGTGCCAGGGAGGGAAGAAGGCAGGGGGAAGGGGGCGCAGACAGGCTCCTGGGGTTGGCTACTTCCTTGAGTGGCTCTGTCTCTAGTCTCTAGTCTCCCACTTCACATGGACCCAGACCAAGCCTGAGCCAGGCAGAATCTGGTAGTCATGAGTGTGGATTCGGTGGGTGCCAGACACCCCCAACACAGTACCTCTTTCCATGGGAGGATGTGACCTGGATGCTGAATCACTGACTGACAACTGTCCATTGGAGGCAGGGCTGCGGCACCAAGGTCGACACATGCTTGTGGAGGTACACGAGTGGGACTTCCCGAGGCAGGATGGTTTGCTGCTGGTGACAGAGGGAAGCTGTGTGTGGGGAGGGTGGAGGGAGAGGTCAAGGAAATGAGAAGATGTTCAAGTTCTAGGTGTTGCCAAGTCTCCACCACACTTCCAGGCTCCCCTCCTCCTGTTTGTTCCAGGAGGTGAGAGTTTGGACATTCCCAGGGGCCGATTTCTTAGAACTGGAACTTCTTAACCCTGTTAGAAAGGAAATGAGGTTTGTCTGGCTGAGCGGGTCATGCCAGACAAGCCTCATTTCCTTCTCTGGCAGAGTCCCCAGGCAGGGAACGTGGCTGTTGCCTTCATCTGGGCTCAGGAAACTGTATGCGAGCCGTGAGGCAGAGGAACCTTCAGGGCATGTTTGTTGTGGGGAGTGTTAGGGTCAGTAGACCAGAAACCAAAGGGCTATGACACTCCAAGGACATCTGCCCTTGAGCAAGATGTGTGCCAGGTCACCAGGCAGGGGGCCCAGGAAGATGCCAGGAAGAGGCCATATAAACAGCAATCATTACTTCTGGCTCTTTCTGCCTTCCCACTCACTGTGTAACCCTGGGCAAGTTGATTTGCCTCCCTGAGCCCTCAGTTTGCTCTTCCTCTGTTTTAGAACTTGCTCTCAGAATCCACATCTGGTCTCCCCATGGTTCTGCCCTTCCCCCAGTAGGAAATGCCCTGATCTTGGGTTTCCTCCTGTTCTTGAGGTGAACCCTTCTTATCACCTTGAAGGAAGTCACTTTATCTCTGAGTCTTCGTTTATAAAAATAGCAGGATCGGGGCGCCTGGGTGGCTCAGTGGGTTAAGCCTCTGCCTTCAGCTCAGGTCATGATCTCAGGGTCCTGGGATCGAGCCCTGCATCAGGCTCTCTGCTCAGCAGGGAGCCTGCTCCCCCCCCCCCGCCTCCCCCATCTCTCTGCCTCTCTACCTACTTGTGGTCTCTGTCAAATAAATAAATAAAATATTAAAAAAAAATAGCAGGATCACCCCCATCCACCCTGTGCAAATCAAAACCATGCTGAGATACCACCTTGCACCAATTAGGATGGCTGTTATAAAAAAAAAAAACAACAGGATAAGTATTGCTGAGGATGTAGAAAAGTTGGAACCCCTGAGCCCTGCTGAGGTAGGAATGTAATACGGTGCAGAACCTGTGGAAAATCACGTGGTGATTCCTCAAAAA